GGGGGGCAGAGGAACATGAAAGTGGGGTTTCTGGAGGGAGAGGGGGACGGGAGGGGGTATCGAAGAGAGTTTCCTACGTAAAAGATTCCTAGCAGTGCCGTTGGGGGTGAAACACCCATCCACCCCTCCCCCCCTCCCTCCTTGGATCCGCCAGTGCTAGCGATACAGCATTGATCAAAGCAACTGGAAATATTGCCAGCTACAGAATCCATGGAAATTACTACTAGAATTTATTTAACTCAATACCAAGATCTTGATCAAACAGAATTATGTATGGCGTTAAAACTGAAACAGATTTTACCAGTAATCAGAATTCCAGATATCCTGATACTGCTGACCATTGGTCACTTGCACTGCGTATAATCGGAACGTTTCCTTGCATGAGCGAGCATTTCCTGGGAATTCGTTACAGTCTCGCATCGTGAAGGTCACCTGAAAAACAGGTTTTTTCCTATTCAGATATGCACTATTTAGATATTGAAGCGATCCTCAAACAGGAAATCTCTTGCAGCATTTTTCACCCCAGCGAGGCAAAGATGGATTAACGAAGACTGCGTTCTTGCACATAAATATCCATCCAACCACCTAAATTACCGAAACGGATTCTAAGTTGCAGCTACTTGCCGCCTAGGTTTGTCTATTCTGGGAAATCAGTCTTTTAGCTCCATGTTTCAGTGACAATTCGAACTGGATGCATGAAGGAACCAGGGAAATGCAAGCACAAAGCATGGTTTGCTCCAGATCTACGAAAGCTAAGAAGCCGAAACTTTGGAAACATTTTCATGGATGCAAAGCTTGAAAATTCGAAAATTCTTCGACCGTTCCGGAAAATTTCGAACTGATAAAGCGCAAAAAAAGTCTTATAAATTTCTAAATTTGCTAACAAGAAAATGTGCAGAATTGAGAAAAAATGCCAATGCTCGGTTATCATGATCGTTAGGAAAACATTTCACAAAAAACTTAAAAACCATCCAAATTTTTTACAAAAGTAAAAACTTTTCAAGAAATTTCTTAAGATTCAACCTCAACATGCAGTCTGTTTGCTCCGCTGACACGGATTTTCGGTGTCCTTAACCAGTTATCAACATCCGGCTGATCAACGTTACAAACAACGTAGGCTCGCCGATTTTCGATACCTTCCGAGCCACGATACGTCTCCTCCAACCACTAAAAATTTTGAAAAATATTAGATGCTGTTCAAAAATTTAAGAAAACAATAAGTCATACAACATCGAAACATGAAAAGTGATTTATATAAAAAAAACAAAGGGTAGCAATAATATTGAAAATAATGATAATGATAATAATAATGATAACAATAATGATAATGATAATAATAATGATAACAATAATGATAATGACAACAATAATAACAATAATGATAACAATGACAATAATAAATAGGGGTTAAAAAATGTTCAGTTTAGCCTATAAAGCTTTTTGAGGACCAAAATGAGGTTTCAGATGAGGTTTTTCTTGTACAGTTTGGCTAATCCCTCATGTGCAAAGTCATAAAGCAATGAAGAGTATGCATGAAAGCATTAATTGTTCGAAGGTACAGGTGTTGTCTGTGTGTGTATCCTGTGCTGTCCCTCTCTCTACCTCATTACATGAAGAATGAATAACAGTAAAAGCACAACTACACGAAACTGCCTCTAATAAGCACCCTCAGTATAAAAGAAAATCCTCCACCTCATACATCAGCAACAACCTCAACCTCATCCTGATTCCCTCTTTCCCTTCTCCCCGAGCATTAAACCATCATCGATCATCACCCTCAAAAATTCAGCCATTTTTTCTTGATTCAAAAATTTCTTCAACAGTTCTGAAC